CCTTTCAGCTCAGTGCTGGTGCTGGTCGTCATCTCCTGCAGGCTACAACAAGACGACTGAAGACCTTCATGATGAACCTCACCTGATGTTTGAGGTACAAACTGGCTCACAGCTGGAAGCGTGTTCCTCCTACTGGTGACAAAACAAAAGAATGCACGGCTCGTACATGAGAGGGGCTTGGCGGTGAAAAATCAATGTTTGATTCTATCAAACATAATATTAAACTTTCCTCAAACTGCAATATTTCATGCATTTCAGCTACATTTACCTTTCCAAGTTCCTGTAAGTGCAGGTCCTTCTTTCAGAGAATCAGCCCTTCTAGTTGTGGTCATCACAGGTAGAGTGACTATGAGCGGTAAATCTGCCTTCTGCAGCATAACAAGGGAGTTTCCAGGTATTTAGCTTATCTTGTGGCATTTCAGAGTGTAAACCCTCATCGTTTGACTATGGCTCTATGCAACCGGTCATTTTGATAAGTCCATCTGACTCAGCGTAGCTATGCTGGCAGACACGGGTGTTCAGCTTGCCCCAAAGGGAAGTTTGCTTTGCTATGTCTCTGTGTACCTTGCAGTGGCAGGTAAGACAGGCCAACCAGACCTGGAACATCATCCATCAGTCTGGGCTTTGTTCAGTAAGCGCTCTGCAGTTCAACACTGTATATCGCTCAACAAAGGGAAAGAGCTTCTTTCACCTGTTGAACTTACTGTTTTATCATACTAATGTGCATAGTGTAATGGAGGTATGTCTTGTTTATGCTATACCCCAGTTACAGAGCTCTAATTAGAACAATTTGGAATGCCATCTTATCCATTCTTTGGTATGACTGAAGTTAGAGGGCATTGTGGGTCAAGCAATATGTGCTGATGTACAGTTGCATGAAATATTGTGGCAGAAAAGAAGTAGACTTCTCTCTTACATGTCATATCTTGCAATTTTTATAATTTTTGTCAACTCTAATTTAACAAATTCAAGGGCACGTGTGAAAGACCAGTTCTTGATACTTAAGAATTGTCCAATAGCAACCGGTGAATTTACAGTATGTTGGGCTTTTTTTTTACCTTCTGCCTGTCCCAAGTGCAAGTTCTTTGCAGAAGTCTTAGGCAGACAATGATCTTTCACTTGCAAAACTAGATCATTCCTATTGAAGTTTGTCATATTAGCTGTTTCAAAATTATTCTGAAAATCACCCCAGTGTTTGCAGTAACCATCTAATGTGTCCATGTATTTTTTTACTCTACCACTAGCATGTTTGGCCAAACAATATCCTATTGATTTATTTAAATCATTGAACTCATTCATTTATTGAGCTGATGATCAAATTGAATTAACATTTGGAATGGCTGCAGTGTCCCTGAGGAGAACTGAAGCGGTATTCGTCTAGCCAACCAACAAGATACCAGTAATTTTTTGGAGAACAGAAGAAATTCTTGTTAGTTTTTATTGTGGACTGTTAATTTGCATATATTCTAATGATAAATTATGTTCTCAGTGCAAATATGTACACTTATACGCAGAACAGGTATTATGCCGAAAAAGGCATCCCTGTCGTAGAATGCATGCCTGTCTCTAAATGACTGATTGGTCGCTGATCTGAAACCAGTTGAGCTACTTGGTCGAGTTAGGCTACCATAGTGCTAATCGATAGCCCTAACCCTAATCCCAAAAAACCCGTAAAACCCTAACCGCCAAAACACCCGTAAAACCCTAACCCTAACACCCCAAAAACCCCTAATCCTCCAAAAACCCCTAAAAGCTCAACTCGTCAGAACACCGGCATGCATTCTACGGCAGGGATGCCTTTTTCGGCATAAAACCTGAATGGACATGAGGGGGAAAAAAAACGGTGTTTAAAAAAAAAAAACATGCGGTTTTGCCAGATCTCGTAAAAGTGCTTTTTTTTCTTTTTACAACCACCGATTTTTTTTTCTCCTTGGTACGTACTTACAGCCCAGATAAAGAGCTTTAAACATTTTCTTTGGCTGCCTATAATTTTTGCACAACACGGTACTTGTGCATGCATGAATATTCAATACATGACTGACGCGGAGCTAGTCAATCTGAGATGACTGACAGCATCTGCCCTGTAAAAAAACTGGCTCATACTTATCCGCACAAGCGCAACACTCGCGTACCCACTCTGCGTATGCGTACACGGAAACGTTCATAGTTCTTCAGTCAAGCCGCGTACTTCGCACGTGCGCACAGTGTTGTATTCATCTTTTTATTAATAATATTAATTATTATCTTGACCCAGCTCACAGGGTTGCCAACTTTGTTCAGCTGGGTGCCGTGAGATTCTCAATTCGAGACAACTCTGCACTCAGATACACTCCAATTTACATGAAGTTTTATTTAATGTAAATTCAAATTGACATTTCTATTACCTTGTAATAGTATGTAGGGTATTTAAAGTAGACGCTAGCGAATCGATCATGTGCAGTGTGTCCAGAGCTGTGCATACACGGCTGCGCAGACAGAAATTTTGGAGTGCAGCAGGCGTTCGTCCGCTGCGTCAAACGCGTCATGATTGTGTTCGTGGGTAGCATCGGTGAGACTTTGTAATTTCACAGGATAAGGATGGAAGTTAGGCCACAGTTTAAAGCTGCGGTGGCCAATATTATCCACAAAGGTCCGGTGTGTATGCAGGTTTTTGGGGTAACCTTTAGGTCAGCTGTTCAGTCCCAGGTGTGAGGATTCCTCAGCCAATCAGTCCTCTAATTAGTAATATAATTAGGGAACTGCAGCGAAAACCCACACACACAGCGGTCATTTGTGGATAAGATTGGCCACCCCTGGTTTAAAGAAAGTGATCGTGTGTGATGCTGCTGCTGATAAATGTCCCTTAGATCAGCTTAGGTGCTTGAGCGGCCAGTGTTCTGCTCGCAGCCTTATAAAAGAAAATTTGGGGGCATCCTGAGTTGTTACACCATGGCATTTGATCGTAAAACTGAACGAGTTCACTAATTCATGAAAAATTCACTCCTGAGCACTTCCAGAGTTCTATATTAATTACCATTTATGTTTATGCTTGACAATACTGGGCTGAAAAAGCCATCTTCCTTAACCCACCTTCGACAGGTGGGGGAGGGGTGGCGGCTGGTGGAAATAGTGGCCTTGATGGGTAGCAGAGTGCTAATCTGTGCAAACTACAGTGACCTTAGTACAAGGCTGCTGATTAGAACAAGCAGAGAGAGCTGAGCGAAAACGGAAAGCAGGTGACTGAGAAGGGAGTAGTGAGTACAAGCTGCTGCTCGGATGGGTCCCTCGGCCCACAGCGTGTGCAGCTCAGGAACTCAAACAGATGTGGGGTCCCTCAGCCCCTTCACTCACCTGCACAAACACCCCCACAAACCAGGGGGTGCGTTAGGTGAGCCCCATCTACAGAGCTAACAGGAGGTCCAAACCCAAGGTTTTTTTTATCAGGTTAATCCACCTTTTCAAACTTCGCATTATCCCACCCAGCAAAAAGTTGCTGAAAAGATGATTTTGGCAGGCGTCTTGAAAACGTTGAAATTTGGTTGAAAAGTGAAAGGAAAAAGCTGTGTTTTACTGGCTGTCTATAAAAGACATCCTTCTACAGTGTAGGTTGCATAGTTAACCATGAATTATTGTAATATATGAATACTGTATGTGTATATATTCATATTAAATTCATTATGTCATATTTTACTAATATAAAATTCACAAGATAACAATAAAGCTCACAAAACACATTTATTTATTGAACATCTCAGGGTCATGTTATTGACTGGAAAACAATGATGTGCTTTATTTTGCGGTATGTAGCCTCCACGGCCAGAATGCCCAGGAACGTGCTTTGGGGATCTGCCACGGCACACGATGCATCGTAGTTGGTGGCACTGCAGTCCCACTTTTTGACAGCAGCTGCAATGACAAAGAAAAACATTTAATTTACCTTTGCTGAATCCTGTTACAGAATACAACCAATAGCAGTACATTTAATTCTAATCCTACAGCTGATCAATTTATATATCATATATGGTTTTCATATATAGTGCTTTTTTTGTTTCAGGTTATGTTCCGTTTTAGGCAGGGGATTCATTGAAAGGGCTCAGGAGCTGCTCACCAGGAGGCAGAAGAGATGGGGATAGCAGGTATCTTTCAGCCCATGGGTGGCACTAGCTGTCATGGTGAGGAGACAACTGGCTCCTCCAGAAGGACAGTGGCAGACAGAGCCGATGATCCGCTGGACCAGGATGCATCCTAAGCGGCAGGGTCCTGGCTATTATTGTATACCTCCAGAGATAGAGGGAAGTGTCTGGGTAGTGAATATGACCCTGCAAAGTGTTACGGTGTCATTGGGCATTGGACACTATGTGAACTAGTTCATTATTACTATATATTTTGTTGTTATGTACTGTGTTATTTTTCCGACTTACCTACAAATTTGACTTAAAGACAGACTTAGGGAAAAGATCTCGTTTGCAACCTTGGGACACCCTGTATTCATTTCTGGGAGGATCATCCACAGAGGTACTGGTATTTTAACACCATATACTATGTGCTAAATATATATAAATAATAAGCATATGTTTTGGTGCTTTTAAGGAATTCCTTCCATTCCTGACACTGTAAACACTCCGTGTTTGGTCAGGGCACACTTTCAGCACGACGCCTTTGTTTATTGAACACTTAATCCACTTCAACAATCAAGTTGATAAGCACAGTACCTCAGCTATGAGAAGAGAATTAAAAGGCAAGAGCCTGATGCCTCACAACCAGCTTGTATATTACAGCAAAACATGTAAAGCCTCAAGACTAGTCTTCAAAGCTTGTTCTCTATGAAAATATGTGAATATTTAGAATTCAACTTCACTACTGTCATAAAAATGTATGTTGTATGCCAATACTTCAAACGCAATCATTTATCTACATATACAAACATATATACACATAGACATTATATATTCACTCACACACACACACACACACACCTCAGAAAATACCAAAAGAAAAAAAAAATCCTTAATTTACTGGCATATTTTGAATTGTTTTATTTTAATTGTCCAAGCCTTTGGTTCTGCTTTTCAAACTATAAATATATTCTCTTCATAACAGGGAGATTTCACTTCCAAATTGGCATTATTAGTAGCTAGTCTGGAAACAGCATTACCTATATAAAGAGTTTGCTCTGAAGTGGAACAGGGAGATGAATATTGACGCACTGCTCTGAGGAATCTCCCAGGTGCCAGGAAAAGCATACTTAATGTGTGGTGATTGCAACTTCATGTTAATTCATGTTTATTCTTAACACTAAAAAAAACACTATTCAGTAATCTGATCACCTCAAATTTAAATGATATATAAGCAAAAATAAGACTGGATACAGTCCAAATTAATTTCAGAAAAAAAATAATTATAAAAATTTTAACTGGGAGAAAAAGGGGGGAAAAATCACCTGCAGGCCCCCTAAATAGCATTTAATTACTGTGAACTCATAACAGAGACCAACACTGTCTCATCTTACAACAGATTGGCTTTGAGCAAAGGCTGGGGTGTTATTTTTGGAACTAGGAGGCAAACATTTCACAACCAATCCCAGTGTGGTGGCATCATGGGTGAGGAAATTACAGCAATTTGGTTGCAATTATATGAATAAATAACTCACAGCCTTTCCACTTATAAACCTATAGAGACATGCCCAAATAACAAAGGCTGAGATGTATATGTGTGTGTGTGAGGAAGAGAGCGAGAGAAAGCTCTGTGCTTCGCAGGATACCAATCCGGTCCAAAGCTGCAATACAGCATACCCAAAATGTAGTGAAATGAGCTTTGAGCGACAGGTCCACAGCACTGACCCTCCTCCTCAATGACATCAGGTAACAATTGGAGAACAAGAGAAGATCAGCTAATCCAAGACACACAGTGCCAACAGTTTAGAATGGATAAGTATATTCAGGGACAAAAAAAACATTGGTGTCACATTTCATCTCTTTTTGCAAAGATTATCTGGAACAATGACCAATAAGAAGATTCCGAGAGACATCGGGGCAAAAGGGACTTTGGCACAAAGCGGGGGTCTGCAGCTCTGATGCACCAGTACTGAGAGTCAAGCCACACCCGGGGGCTGGGTTTCCATCATGAGGTACACATAGCATCTGGCAGAAATGCTCCCCAGGTCCTTCACAGCAGGTATGAGAGCAGAGAAGTGCAGCTCACAGTCCAGAGGCTTCGGAGGCTCGGTACGGCCCATTCATCTGAAACGGATGGAATATCCAGTTATCCACAATACACCTGACTATACAATGCCACTCTGCATGGTCTGTCATGATACATCATATCCCTCACAGCTGGGATATACCAACATGGCAGAATTACTCACCAGTTAATTGGCTACTTCTGAAAAACTTGAAGCTCATAATAATAGCTTTCAATATATTAAATCGCACTTCTTTAATTTTCCAACATTAAAAATGGAGCACATAATGCCATTAAATACTTGTTAAGCTAATATAAACAAGAAAAGCTTTTATTTTAGGTAATTACCTGAATAGGCACACCAACTCACTCACGCCTACTCTCCCTGGCCAAAATAAACTTGCAGTGTTGCAAGAACTTAAAGGAAAAATCCACAATGAACTTTTTCCCATGATCCAATGGGCTTTTCCCATCAGTTAAAGGGACAGTCTTTTCCCGCAGGCCTGCAGATGGCATAAGCACAGTGCTCTAGCGGTTTGAGGCCCTGCAAATCAGCTGAGAGGCTTACACAATCAGCAGGACAAAGCACCGGAGATGGCACACTTCATCTCTGTGGATACTTCCTGCTGCACAATGCTGTAGGTACACGAAGGGGGCGGAGACCTCAAAAAGCATCAGTGGCCAACAGCATCATGCTGTACAGATGGGCTGCACTGATAAACCAGAGGGATGCCAAGGTAGAGTTACATTTCCAGAGTTGAGTGACATCTTCTCTTCTCTTCATTACCTGGGCGTCACCTCACTCCGCTAGCCAGTGAGATCTATATCTCTATACAAAAGCCCATTCTTAGTCAACAAATAAAATAAGGAAAACATCTGACTGGAATGGATTTTGTTGACCTAAAAGCCTTGGTGTGCTTGTATAATCTCTGGGCTGCATAACTTAAAAAGAACAGTTTCTAATAAAGGTATCTACTGTACCTGAGTTAGACATAAATGTTGCCACATCCAATGTGGTGGCATGTAACCTTGCAAAACTGTCATCCAAATGATGAAATAATATTGCCATAAACAGTGTATTTTGTGACACCACAAAAAAAACGAGGGCATAATGTGAAACGACAGACATTTTCATTTCGTCATCTGATATATATAGTCATATCGCACAGCCCTAAAGCAAACCATGTTTCCTGTTCTCTGACAGTACCCATTGTCACAGCTTACAGGATGAAGAAGATGGGGAGAGAAAAGGCAACACAGTAATTCAGAAAAAACATTTATTACAAAAAAAAAAAAAAACATGTGTGAAAGGCTGACAATAACTCAGCATGGCAAAGTGAGAAATCATTCAACAGACCTGAGCATCATACTCCAGGACGAAGGGTGGGATGTCAATTTGCTCAGGCAGGATGCAGGTGAAGAGCTGCTGCAGGTTCTCAATGTGGTGGAGCTTCTCCTTCAGACCTGGTACGCTGAAGGTAGTGAAGAACCAGTTGGACACCTGGCAGGAGGAAGCAGAGAGCAGAGGACTGAGCCCCTTGGAGAAGGCAATGGCATCCAACATGATTTTAAAAATAAACAAAAAACAAAACAAACTATACAAATGGCAGATTTTTTCACCAGGGAACAAATATCCAAAATAAAGTCAGTGGATCTGAAAAGATTGAGAACTTTTTCTACCACTGCAAGCCT